AATCTCTATATACCCCTGACGCCCGGTGAAGCTCGTGAAGCCTCTATTCGGCCTGAAGCCTCTATTCCCCGGACGCCCGGTGAAGATCGTGACGTCTCTATTCGGCTGGAAGCTTCTATTTCGCCTCGGCCTCATCACCCGGGGTGTACAGCTGGGCTGGCTGCGTCGGGCGCGCGGGCGCGGGCGCGAGCGCGGCGTCGTCGTCGCCCCCGCCGCCGCCGGCCAATGGGGCTGGGTTGCGGGTTCAAGGCCTCCTGGATGTTCGTTTGGGGGTCTCTTCGAAGGTTTCTTGTCAGGCTCCTGGAAGCTGTTTTGACGCCTCCTGGGGGGCCGTTTTGGGGCCTCTTAGGATTGGTTTTCAATCAACTTGGGGAGGGGTCTTGTCTAGCAGCAGGTGCCGCACAGCAGGTGGGGCACGCCTAGCACCAATTATCATTTTTGTAATCATCTTGGGGAAGGCTCTTGCCTATCAGAGGATGCCGCACAACAATGGGGCACATCTAGCACTAAGATTTATTGTTTAATCAACTTGGGTCGGGGTCTTGCCTAGCAGAAGGTGCCGCACAGCAGAAAGGGCAGGTCTAGCACCAAGGATTCTGCTGTAATTAACTTGGGGAGGGGTCTTGCCTAGCAGAAGCTGCAGCACAGCAAAGGGGCTCACCTTGGAGAGGGTGCCGCGCAGGAGATGGGGCACGCCTAGTACCACGGTTTTAGTTTAAATCAACTTGGGGAGGGGTCTTGCCTAGCAGCAGGTGCCGCACAACAGGTGGGGCACGCCTAGCACCAAGGATTCTTTGTTCAATCAACTTGGGGAGGGCTCTTGCCTATCAGAGGGTGCCGCACAGCAAAGGGGCACATCTAGCACCAAGGTTTATTTTCTAATCAACTTGGGGAGGGGTCTTGCCTAGCAGAAGGTGCCGCACAGCAAAGGGGCTCACCTTGGAGAGGGTGCCGCACAGCAAAGGGGCACATCTAGTACGAAGGACTCCTTTTAAATCAACTTGGGGAGGGGTCTTGCCTAGCAGAAGTTGCAGCACAGCAGGTGGGGCGCGCCTAGCACCAAGGATTCTTTGTTCAATCAACTTGGGGAGGGCTCTTGTCTATCAGAGGGTGCCACGCAGCAAAGGGGCACATCTAGCACCAAATATTATTTCTGAATCAACTTGGAAAGAGGTCTTGCCAATCATAGGGTGCCGCACAGCAGAAGGGCATGTCTAGCACCTGGGATTATGTTTTAATTAACTTGGGGAGGGGTCTTGCCTAGCAGAAGGTGCCGCACAAAAGGTGGGGCGCGCCTAGCACCAAGGATTCATTATTCAATCAACTTAGGGAGGGGTCTTGCCTAGCAGAGGGTGCCACACAGAAGATGGGGCACGTCTAGCACCAAGGAGTCTTCGTCTAATCAACTTGGGGGGTGGGTCTTGCCTAGCAGAAGGTGCCGCACAGCAAAGGGGCACGTCTGGCACCAATGATTCTTTTGTAAATCAACTTGGGGATGGGTCTTGCCTAGCAGAAGGTGCCGCAAAGCAGGTGGGGCATGCCTAGCACCAAGGATTTGTTTGAATCAACTTGGGCAGGGGTCTTGTCTAGCAGAAGGTGCAGCAAAGCAGGTGGGGAACGCCTAGCACCACGGATTCAGTTTAAATCAACATGGAAGGGGTCTTGCCTAGCAGAAGCTGCCGCACAGCAGGTGGGGCACGTCTAGCATCAATGATTCTTGTTTAATCGACTTGGGGAGGGGTCTTGCCTATTAGAGGGTGCCGCAGAGCAGATAGGGGGCATGGCTAGCACCAAGGATTCCTTTTTTAATCAACTTGCGGAGGGGGCTAGCCTAGCAGAAAGTGCCGCACTGCAGGTGGGAAACGTCTAGCACCAAGGATTCTTTTTAAATCAACTTGGGGAGGGCTCTTGCCTATCAGAGGGTGCCGCACAGCAAAGGGGCATGTCTAGCACCAATGAACATTGTTTTGTATCAGCTTGGGAAGAGTTTTCGCCTAGCAGAAGGTGCCGCACAACAGGTGGGGCACGCCTAGCACCAAGGATTCTTTCTTAAATCAACTTGGGGAGGGCCATTGCCTAACAAAGGGTGCCACACAGCAGATGGGGCACGTCTAGCACAAAGGATTCTCTTTAATCAACTTGGGGCTGGGTATTGCATAGAAGAGGGTGCGCACAGCAAATTGGGCACGTCTGGCACCGAGGATTCTTTTAATCAACTTGGGAAGGGGTCCTGCCTAGCAGAAGGTGCCGCACAGCAGATGGGGCACATCTAGCACCAAAAATCCTTTCTAAATCAACTTGGGGAGGGGTCCTCTGGGAGGTGTCTTGCCCAGCGGAGGGTGTTGCACAACAGATGGGGCATGTCTAGCACCAAGTACTCTGTTTTAAACAACTTGGGGAGGGGTCTTGCCTAGCAGAGGGCGTCGCACATCAGATGGGGCACGTGTTGTGTTGGGCACGGAAAGCGTAAAATAAAATTGCACTGTCAAATTACAATTGGGAGGGGGGCGTGTTGAATACTGGGCCCGGCGAAGAGAACAAACATCTTCACAAAGCATAACGTATTCGCCCGGAGTAGCGTCGTCACCGGCGTCTCGCGGGGAATAGCGCCTTCATAAGGAATAGGGTCTTCACAGGGAGTAGCGCATCCACCGGCAATCGCGTTTTCACCCAAAATACCATCTTCACAAAGAACAACGCCTTCACAAGGAATAGCGTCTTCACCCGGAATAGCGTCTTCACAGGGAATAGCGTCTTCACCGGGAATAGAGTCTTCACTGGGAATCATTTCTTCATCCGGAATAGCGCCTTAACAAGGAATAACGTCTTTATCCGGAATACCATCTTCACAAGGAAACGCGTCTTCACCCGGAATAGCGTCTTCACAGGGAAACGCGTCTTTACTGGGAATAGCGTCTTCAGAAGGAAAAGCGTCTTCACCGGGATAGCGTCTTCACCCGCAGCAGCGTACTCACCGGGAGTAGCGTCTTCACTGGGAATAATGTCTTCACCTGGCGTCTTCACTGGGAATAGCGTCTTCACTGGGAATTGCGTCTTCACCCGGAATAGCGTCTTCACCCGGAATAGCGTCTTCACAGGGAAACACGTCTTCACTGGGAATAGAGTCTTCACATGGAATAGCGTCTTCATAGGGGAAGTGCTGTCTGTGACCGCAGAAAACATCTTCACAAGGAGTAGCGTCTTCACCAAGAATAGCGTCTTCGCCCAGATAGCGACTTCACCGGGAATAGCGTTTTCACTGGGAATAGCGTCTTCACAAGGAATGGCGTCCTCACAAGGACGCGTCTTCACAGGAAATAGCGTCTTCAAGTAGCGTCTTCGGCGCCGGCTTGAACGGGGAACCCGGCTTGCAGGGGCAATGTGTACATATATATATATATATATATATATGTATATATATATATATATATGTTTCGCAGATTCGCCTCGTGGGCGTTCACAAAATCCAAGAGGGCCCAAAAGGCCGGTAAGGTCGCCCCACGGTGGCCCAGGACCCCCCCTCAAGAAACCCTTGACGGCCCAAGACGATCCCAGAACGGCCCAAGACGCCTCCAGGACAGCCGAAAAGGTCCCCAAAGGGTGTACGCGAACTGACTCTTCGAACTCGGCGCCGCAAAAAGGACCTCTGAGGCCGTCAGCAGGCGCCCTCAAGGCCCTGATGAGACCCACAGAGAATCCGAAATGGTGCCCAAGACCCCAAGACGCCTCGCAATTCTTTCAAGCACAGGCACGGCGACGCGCCCCCCCCCCCCCCCCCGCCCGATTCAACTGAATCTCGACGCACACACAACACTTCAAATGGGTCGGCGGATGTGGCGCAAGCTTGTGAAATAGTTGTGTGTTCCGCGGCCGTACGTGCCCCTCCCCTGGTTGGGGAGCGACCGCACGGGGTCCTTCAAGCACGCGACTGGCGCCCGACAGGTGAACGAGCACGCGACTGGCACCAGACTTGTGAACGAGCACGGCAAGGCGCAAGACAAGTGGACCCAGAACTCTAGAACGATAGCATCGTTTTCGAACTAGTCTGTTCGTTTTAGAACTTATTTTGGGCGTTCTATATCTGAAACGCAAGTGCCGGTTCTACAATTTTGATTTGCGTTATATAACTCCTGCCGCCGTGCTGGAAACTATTTTGGCGGTTCGGCAAGGGACGCGTGCAAATGAAGGCGGTGTTCGAGCTCCGTAGGTCCCTCTGAGTGCGACGGGAGGCGGCTTCGATTGGAGTCTGCAGTGGCCCTTCGTGCAATCGGGCTCTGCGTCCGCTCGGTGCGAGCTTGCGTCGGCGCAGAGCGCGTCGCTCACCCCGCCGCAGCAACTTGTCCGAAACAGTCCTGTGGACAGAAACTCATGGGCGGCGATCGATTTGGCCGAGCGGCATGTTGGATCCCATCCGCTGTGCTCCACCCAAGGCAGCGACACCAACAACGCAGCGACACCCGAACTCGAAGCGTCGCGGTGAACACCAGTAGCCCCGGTCACCCAGGTGAGCAAGAACTGAGCGCCACGCGTGGGCAGCAGCAGCAGCAAGAGCGGGGAGAGGGAACAGGCAGCAAGGACGAAAGCCGGAGAGCCGAGAGCTGCACGGAGAGCAGCACGGAGAGCAGCAGAGCCCTCCACCCAAAGAAAAATGCTCGGGCCTTGGGTCAGGGGGCCTGTCTGATGCCCACAGGCGGTGCTGTGCGCAGTCCCGTGGCCCTGCCGCTGCCACCCTGGAGAGCCTGCCCCCCGACTAACCACCGATTCGTAGGCTCTGGGATCGGACCATCGAAGACCGGGGCGCGTGCCCGGGCACTCGACGACGTGATCTTTGCATCCGATCGGCCCCAGGATTGGTAGCTGCTCTTCCCCAGCGTGCTACTGGCGCATTCCGGATCAACGCATGAACTCCAAAGGGGCAAACTCTGCGCCACGGGCCCGCTTTGGATGGCCCCGGGGGCCCGGAATTGGTTGGCGCCCCCCGGGGGGGGGGATGCCCAGGC